AGAGATTTGACTATACAATTAAAAAAAATAAGAAAAACTTATTTTTTTTAATGATATAATTTGTCTTAAAAGTCAAAGGTGATATTTATTTTTAAAAAAATAAGAAAAACTTATTTTTTTAATAATATAATTTATCCTAAAAGTTAAAAGCAGCATTTATTATTAAAAAGATAAGTTTTTTATTTTATAATGATGTAATTTATTATAAAAGTCAAAAGTAGAATTTACTATTATAAAAATAAGAAAACTTATTTTTTTTAATGATATGAGGCCTTTGTAATAAAAAAAAAAGAAACTGTTAGAAAAATAAAAATTAGTTAATGTTAAATTTGAACATATTTCAGCCTAAAAATCATATTTAAAATATAAAAATAAATTTGATTTTTTCCAGCTGTTTCCTACCTTTTTATTACAAAGGCTTATATAATCTAACTTAAAGTTTTACTATTAAAAATTAATTTTCTTTTTTTTTTAATAATATAATTTGCTTAAAAACCAAAGACAGATTTTACTAAAAAATACTAATTTTATTATTTTATAATAATAAAATAATATTTCAAACATTAAAGGTAGATATTTGTTAAAAAAATAATAATTTTATTGTTTATTAATAATAAAATGCTATTCTGAATATAAAGGTAATTTTTTTTTAAAAAAATAATGATTTATTTTATTTTTAACAATAAAACTCAAAAGTAGATTAGAAAATAATTTTTGATTCAAATTCAAATTCAAATTTATTGAATTTAGATATATCAGATATGAATTTAGATTTAGATTTAGATTTATCAAATTCAAATTGAGATTAAATTAGATTTTATATAAATCTAATCTAATCTGATCTATGTGAAACAATAATTTAAGTAATATCAAATTTGTATTTCTTATAGGTAGATCAATCAATTTTTAGTTAAATCAATTGAAATTTTTACTGAAAATCTTAAAGATTAGATCTATTTTATTTTTAATATATATTATAGTAGTATAAGTTCAAATAATTACTAAAAATTATAATTAACAAAATTTTAATAAAAATGTCTTGTGGTTATTTATTAATATATGTAAATTAAAAGGCTTAAAATTTATATTTACATATTTTTTTAATATATATTTATAAATTTTTAAAAAAAATGCAATATAAAAATAAAAATTTTTCTATTTCAAGTTTATTTTTTTCAATATTAGTTAATTTATAAAAATAGTTTTTTTTTAGAATTTTTCATATTAGTTTTTATTTTTAAATATTAAATTAAATATAAATTAAGGCTTTATTTTCAAGTTATTTAGAAAATATTTTTTAAATTTTCTAATTGACAACTTTTAAAAATTATTTGTGAAATTATAAGTTTTAAAAATACTATAATTAATATAAGAATAAAATAAATTCAATGTTTAATAAAAATTTTAGCTGATTTAGCTAAAAATTGACTGACTTATTTATATAATAAATGCAAATTTCAATAGATGTTCTGATTATTATACAGTTATGAATTAATATTTTTTTTTTAAAATAAATTATCTTTTTAATTACAAGTAAATAAAAATTAATATAGTATAATATTTTAAAAATTATAATTTAAATAATAGAATTTATTAATTTAGTTAGAATTCTATTAGGATTTTATCAATATTTTATTAATATTAATATATTAATAAAATCTTTTTTAAATTTATAAACAAAATCTTTTATATATTGATATGAAATATTTAATGTTATACCTAATATTTATAATAATATATAGGATGAGTGCTAGGAAAATGGATCAGATTGATTTTTTTTTTAAAAAAAGTTTCTAAGTAAAATAGATGTAGATTTGGTCATCTGATTCAGATCATTTGTTATTTCCAAAAAAATTTTTTGTCGATTTGATCCCTTTTCCTAACACTTACCCCATATAGCTTATCAAATCATATTTTATAAAATTTATTAAAATTTTAACCTTTTTATTATTATTTTTCTACTATTATTTTCAATTTAGTATATTATGTGAAATAATAGAATTTATAAAATAATATCTTGTTATATTAAGGTAATACAATTTTAAAAAAGAGTATTTAAGCAAAATTTTTATTAAATTTATTTTTTGTAATAGAAATATAATAAAATAAATAATTAAAATTATTAAATTATTTATTATATTATATAACTAATATAACTAATTCATAATTTCTTAAAATGTAATTTTTCATACTTGTTTGATATGTTCTATTTAAACATAGAAATATTGTTAATAAAATCATATTATTTATCATATGATTTATTATATCTTATAACTTGATTTTACTGGTAATATTTCCATATGATCTAGTTTATAATGAAGTTACTTCTTTTTTAAAAATGAATTTATTGCTATAAAAAATTAAATTATTTAAATTATTGTAATAAATCAATACTAATGATAAAATCTTAGTAATTAAAGCTTGTCTTAACTATTTTTAGCTTGAGATTAAACTATTTATTTATAATAAATTATTTTACCTAACTTCTAATAAGTTACACGTTAAAATAGGTTTTGAATAAGTCTAGAGTAACTTCTTTATTATAAAATTTACGATTGAGATCTGCTTGATTAATATTAAACTATAATTACAGGTTACCATTTAAGGATAATGAAAAATTTTAAATTAAAAAAGTTTTTTTTAGTAATTATTATGTATCTTTTAAAATCAAAATTGATTTCTTTGTTTATTAATTTTTACTTTAATATTAATTCTTTGATTATATAAATTGGAAAATCAAAATGGTAATAAAATTTAAATGATAAAATATAAATATAGTGAATTTATTGAAAAATGCTGCATATTTGTTATATTAGTTATAATCCATCAATAAAATTCTAAATCATATCAACGATTATTAATTATCACACTATAATCTAATTTACCGACGACATTGTCATGTTTCCACTGACATTTTCATTTAACAGATTCCACTTTACCGACCTTCGTTTTATCGAAACATTTCAACAACAAACATTAACATTTTTTTCTAATGGTTTGCACTGTTCTTAACTTAACCTCATCAATATGAATGTCAAAATATGCTGAGTTGTACTAACGTTTGAAAATTTCTTTTATAGAGATGCACAATATTCGAACGAGTATATATCCTTTGTAGTACAAGGATCAGGATAATATTCTTAAGGTGATACACATTCATTGAATTGCTGGTAATTTCATTAGGGATGATACGATCTCTTCCACTCTTCAGGCTTTCCAGGCAAGCTCGATTGAACCTTCTTTATGATATCCTTCATGACCTCTGCAGTAATGTAATATTAATACAACATTCTGCCATGATAATTATTAATTATACTTCCAATACCGAATATGTGCGATGATACCAATAATATTATGGTGTTGATGCGTTTTTCATGTTGTTCACTCGAGTGTCGCCCATTTGGGCAAGTTGAGATGCTGGTGTATTTCTCCACGCTATGAGGTTACTTTTATCTTGGTAACCTTCCGTAACGCGCCATCCAGTGACTGGATAGGAATATGCTTATTCTCAATTGCTGAAAGTGTTCTGGAATTAGATCTTTTAAGATATGCGATATCATTAATATCAACTGCAAAGAACTTTCCCTTTAATGAACCAAAAATGGCATGATTAAATATTTAGTTAGGAGTTGAATCCCTTGTTTTCAAAGATCGTTATTGTGTTCATAAATATTAGGTAGTGTAGTCAATCTACCGCCGCAACATTTTTTTTTAAAAAAAAATGATTGGCATTACTGGTTCACACGATGCAGTTTGTCATCAAATATGCAAGTTTATCTTATTTTCTAACCAAAATATGTAAATTGGATTTGATTGTATTATTTTCTTATTGAGAATTCTATTCTATTCATCTAACATTATTTGTAACATAAAACCATTTATTGCTATTTATGGCTTTATAAAGATAACAAACGGTAATGTAAATCATTACTGTACAAATTTCGACCTAACAAAATTTGATTGTCTTAGTTGAGAGATTGAATTACTATTCTAGAAAAAAAACAATCAAGAATTTTTTTTTAGATGATGGATAAAATATCTCTGCAACCCTTATTTAAAGTTTTTAAAAAATCGTGAGAATTTTTGCAATGGTTATTTAGGTATTTTAATACGAGAAATAATTTATTTTTATTTTTTTTTGTGTTGCCTAATTACTAATAATAATTATCCTTATTGGAACGCTATGCAACCTTTTTTAATAATAAATAAATTTGGTAATTGATTTAATCACCCTTTTCGTTTTATTCATAAACCTTAATAATATTTTTTATCAAGTATTTCTGATAAAGTTTAATTCTCAATGTTTTATTTTGTTACTTGATTTTGCACGTGGCGATCCCTCTGACGTGATATGTGTTCAACAGTAAAGACAAAAAAATATGTTAGCTTTCTTCGGGTCTTTCCGGCGCTATTCTATATTTATTTTAAAGAATGATTTTTTTTTAAAAAAAAGTCACCTTTTATGATGATCATCCAAATTTAAAATAAAATCAAAATCAGTTTCACAAATTGTTTTTTTTTTTTCTTTTTGGCTTTGGAAATTTCCTTAATTGATTGTTCAAAATACTACAATACGCTACACTAAAGGTATCCAGAGTCATTGTTCGATAATTAAAAAGATTATCAAAAAAATCTATGGAGTTTAGAATGCAACTAAAAAAAAGGAACGCTAGTTGAGGAGGCAGTTCCAATCAAAATTTTATTTTATATTCTTAGGTCAAAGAGGCTTTTTAAAAAAAAAAAACTATAGTGTAAACATAATTGATTAATCTTATAATGGGATAAAGCTTATTTTTGATATTTTTTGTTAAATTTAGACGAAGCGAGAGAGAAAAATAGCGATCGAATAAAAAGGGGAATCATACTTGGTTAGTAGCAAAAATATACAAAGGAAAAAAAATTGATTAATTTAATCATAAAGGTTCATGAATTATTTCTTTAAAAAAAATAAAAAAAGAAATTGGTATCGAAAAAGAACGATGTTTTTTTAATTTACAACCTCATTTTAATCGATGTCTCGGTGGAATTTGTGAATGGTTAGAAGTTGTAACGATCTTATTTGTTATAAACATTACAAATTTTTGTATCTCGTCAATGCTCATTTTTGATAAATCCATGACTCCGGGTTTTCCAAATGATATGGTTTGAGTAAGACTGTTGTTCTGATAAATTGAAATGTTTAAACCCATTGTGCTGTACAAATCGCGAAATTTTCACGAATCAATAAAGAAAATCGTTACCTTGAATTCATTACTCAATTGTCCAGTAACTTTCTTGAGGTTTTCAATCAATTCTTCAATTCTACTCATTTTAGAATCAATCATCTTTACAATATTTGCTGATTCTTTACATTTGGCACAATGTCTCTTACGTCCTGTCGTGAGAGCGTGCGGTTGTGCTGCAGGCTCTGTAGTCGTGCCAGTACTCTCGGTTGTCGCGTTAGAATCCACGATTGTTGAAGTACTTGATGTTTCTGTCATCAAACCTTGTTGACGAGCTTGAGATCTCGTTGAATATTGAATCAAATAGGGGTCACTTCGAATCGAACCTTTATTGGTAAATTTGTTACGAATAGCACGATTCATTGAAGAATTATTTCTACGAGAATTGGGTTTATGTTTACTTGTCATCGAAATTATAGGTTCCTTTAACGAATTGTTAGAAGGATCAGACATATTTTTTTTTGCTTAAATTCTAATATTTCTTATCATAATAAAGTTGTCAAGGTTTTTTTTAAAAAAAACACACAATCCCTTTTATACAATCGGAAATCAAATAAATATTACTATTTTTATTCTTGAGTAAATCAAGTAAATCAAGTTTTATCTCAAATAGGTAGATATTTTTATATAAATAAGAAGAGGAAATTTTCACTTGGTAGAAAAACTCGATTTTTAAATGGTGAAAAAGTGAGTAAATTCTAAAATTTAGGATCCTAACCTTTTTTAACTTGCGCAACTTTCGGAATCAATCCAAATCAATTGACAAGTTTGACGTATTCGAAGCAAAGATGATCCGTAGACTTTCTACGTTTTTTGTTGCAATTTCTTGGTAAAACAAAAAAAGTTATATTATCGCTTACTATTGTTCATTTGCATAACATTTGCATGAATTGTAAACGAAGAAATATAATAACATTTAAATTACCTTTTAAGGATCAAAAAAGATATCTCTCGATCAACAATTCTTTAATCTATTAATACAACTTAATGGAGAATATAATGATCATTTATTAACATTCTATATAGAAAAAGAGATTTTTTCTTGCTATTTTTAGAAAAACAGTAAGGGGGGCGTAAATTATTTATTGTTGAATTCAAAAAAAAAATTAGGGATGTATCCCTCGTGAGTCATGGCAAAATTTTCATTAATCCGAATGAATGAAATCATATCTATCTGCTATGGCCCATTAAGCGCATGCATGCGGATTCATCATCACAATAGATTATTTAGTCGAACCTTGATTTTGGACGATTAGCGAGCAAATTAAACTAGACCAACACGATCTTTCACGGTCCAGTATGGGCATTACCGATTTAACCTCCCATATACGTCCATAAAAAAAGGCTACCAACATTGCTTTTATTGGAAACAATGATTGATACCGATATTAACGTATTCATTTGTAGGTAATCCTGTTAAACTGTGATTGGCGATCAGGAGTTAGAATTCCTTTGAAAAAATACATGGCGATTTACGCCCAATAAGTTTTGTGATCTGGTGTTAAAGCACCTTTTTTTTTTAAAAAAAAGAGCTAAATTTTATTAAGGATTCTTTCCCCATAGTAAATGGGAAAGTCGTAAAATTCTTAATGGTTTGAATAGATTGAGGATAAGTATAATTAGGAAGTATAAAACATTTCTTAGAAAAAGATGAGAGAAAGGATATATATATGATGTGTAATTTTTTTTTTTTTTTTTTTTAGGAAGAAAGGAGAAATTCAACGATTGAATAAAAGAACATCTTAGATTGAAATAAAATTTTCGTAAACTTGGGTGATTCCTTAATCGAATTTTTTAAAAATGTTTTTGCCAATTCTTGATGAAATTTCTTCGATTTTGCCAGCAAAACACATTTTCCTTAATATATGCCTAAATTTAATTACAAGGACTAAAAGCATGAAGGGAATTGGGTTTAACGCAATCGGTCCTATTCATTGCGTTGGTTATGACCGACACAACCTTTTGTAATTCTTCCAAGCTATAATTTGAAAGATCACTACTTATGGAATTGGGAGGACTTGAGAAGGCTTGAATTGGAGAAGGAAGAGGAGTCGGTAATTGCAAAGATTGGTTTATGAATACCTGTGATATTGGGGAGGGAATTTGAGGTTGTTGTTCCTGCAATACAAGTATACAAAAGAGAGAGGAATGTTAATTCTCCATTATCATGAAAAAAAAATAATAAATAAATTGATCATTAAACCTTGATAAAAGTATTATAATTATTTACATTCATTGAACTCGTTTCAGTGGTTCTCACTATGTTCTTTACTAAATCTTCCAATCTATGGATTCTTGAACAGACCAACTTAACGCACCTATTGGATTCCTTACAGCGTGCGCAGGTTTTTTTAATTGTGGGCTTAATCTCAAATTCGTTGTCATTATCTATCTTCTCCGTTTGAATGGAAGGAATGATTGGCATCATAACTTGAGGATAACATAACTTAGAAAAGTAGTTATCGTTTAATCTGCAGTCTGGTGTAACCTTTACTCTCTGAACTCTTGGAAAAGTACTTTTTTGTAGTCCCCTCGGGTGAGAATTAACTGGAATGGGTTTTGACATTTTTTTTTCTTTCTTCTTTTTTCTTGTAAATTTTTCTTTTTTCTTTTTTCTTTTTTTTTTTTTTAGGAAAAAAATCAATTAAAATTAAGCGCGTATTTATATAATAAATTAAATTGATGTTTATCAATCTAAAATCGATTGACGGAACAAACTTTCCGGATTTATTGTACAAAATTCGTTTAATAAAATGAAATTATTTATTAATCCGATCCGACAGCAGATAATGTTTGTATATATTTAGTATCAGAATAGGAAGTTCAAATAACTTTATTTCAATAAGCACAAAAACACGTACTTTTTTGCGCAACACTACTCAATAAACCTACAGTGAAATGGAATGCTTGTAACTGGGGTAACAATAACTTATTAATCAATAAATATTCAATTCAATGTAAGCAATCTGAGATTTCATTTCCAAAGGATAAAGCCTATTTCTTCCCTTTACAAGTGAACTGCAGGGGGATAACTTAAAAACCCGGTAACACATGTCAAACCACCTCCTCAAATTATTTTATTTTCATTATCATCTTGCTAAATAGGTACTAACAAAATTTATTTTATAACCAATAGGTTCTAAAAATAGAGCTTTATCCTAATAAAAAAGGAACTCGTAAATATAAAATGTTGATGAAAAGTAACTAAATTAACTGGATTTTCGACCCTTTCTTTATTGTATAACCAAATTTAGTAACGCGTTTAATTTAACGATAAATTCGGAAAGATAATGAACGAAATCATTCGTCCATCGTCTCGTTAATAAACGTAAATGATGTAATGATGCGTGATTAAAATGTTCCTGATGTGATTTTACCATATTCAGGAGAATTACGAGAGGTCGTGCTCAACGTATTCCGTTCCGCCTCATGAACGAAACTGATATGGAGATAGAAAGAAAGCAATCATTCTTTTAATTTGGCAAAGCAATTAATTTGGCAAAGTAATCTTTAGTCATTGTTATCCAAAGCCCTTTGTGACCTTTGAAAGAGTCGTGCAAATAAGTAAGTTTGTTCATTAATTGAATAAATTAAATTCGAATTGTTTATTGATGAATTCATTCGGAATTAAGAAAAAAAAATTTTTTTTCCTTACAATTACAAAGAGGTAACTCCGAAGTACAGTATTACAATTGAATAAATTGCTGCGAATTCAAATTGATGAATGATTTTCATTAACCAGTACTGTCCTATCGTAATGTCTCCCGGAGTTTAAAAAATCATAAAAATCTGCTAGTTTGGGAAAAAGATCAATGAAATTGCGTCATTACATTGATAACTGTTTTCTTACCTTTTAATTCTTTATTTGGACTTTGATTTCGATAAGAAATAATTTTTGAATCCATTACGAAATTTAAGGTACCATTATCGTTTTGAATTGGAAAATGAATTGAAACATGTGAAAGTGATTTGAAACTTTTTCAGAGAAAATATTTACTGAAGTTTTGGGTGTAATTTTTTTTTATTTTTTGGTTTAAAAAAAAATATAAAATCATAAATATGATAAATTACATTTGAAATAACAATCATCAATTTATCTTTCTTAAAAAAAATAAATTAATTAAGTAAAATATCTTGTATATACATACCTATTACCAACGACTAATTGTAATTTTTAAACTCTAAAAAATTTCAGCCTATAAAATATTTTTTTATCTCCTAGCTTTATTTGGGTAGGGTTTTATAAACAACTGATTGAAACAATGAAAATTATTCTAATTTAGACATTTACATTCAAAGAATAAATATCTTATTTATTAGGTAGCACATGGTTAATGTCGATCCCAAAAATGGTGAACAAAAAAAGAGCTGTTAAAGGAAAGGGTCGCGAGGAATTTATCCTACTTTAATCAAAATTTTACCCTTCCCGAGGAGAAATTTACTTCACGTAGATAACAAATGTGTTGATGTGAAATACTTTTTAATTTATTATTTTTGGTGTGCTGTGGGGCGTCCTTTTCCGATTTACCCTAACTCCGAAAAGGGTGATCCGCAGAATTTGTCTTCATCGCTTACTCCTTTTATTTATTCCTGATGTTTTCTCGATTAGTAAAGGGGTAGTATGCGACATTATGTAATGTTGTAAAATCGTTCGGAGTCTGGACCACGTTTATGGGTAGCAAACAATTGGATTCAACTCTTTCGATTCTTCGAAACATATATATACAAATATATCAAACTCGGTTCCACTTCTAAGCCCCCAAAGGAAACTAGTAAAGAAACAAGATTTTTTTTGGGAAAAAAGAATGAGATTTCACAAGATTCTTTATTTTATTATTTCCGTTACAGCAAAAATCGATATACAGGGTTTCTTTTTTTGCGAAGCTTATTTTGAACTAATCGACCTTTTTCTCTTGTGATGCTGAGCTTTTTGAGCGCAACAAATAAGGTTGACATGATCTTCGATCAAGTTAATCCCGATAAATTAATTTGAAAGCACGTGGTTGGGTACAACCTAAAATTTCACCTAATTTTGAAAGAAAAAAGTGTGCACGCACATCTTTTCGACCGTCTTGGAAAAGAAATAATTTATTTCCTTTCAATAAAAAAATAAAAAATTTATCGGATTTCGGTTCCCTGTTAAAAAAAATAATTCTTATTTTTTTTTTTTTTTTTTTTTTTTGATATTTTATTATTCGGATAATGAGCCACAATCATATCATATATAATGGAAAGAGAGACTGTGTAAATTTCAGGACGGGATTGTATAAAAGGAATTTTAGTGTAACTTTTGTAAAATATATATAATTGAAGGCTTTTACGTTAAATAATCCTTTTTCTTTGGTGTTTGGATTTTATGTTCATGAGTTGAAAGGAAGTTATATTCAATGACGCGTCAAATTAATTCATGTCTCACAATATCACACCATTCCCGACGCATAATCATACTTCTCCTTTTCTTTACCATTGGCATATTTTCATACAATACACTGACAATATATGAAGATTTATTAAATGGACCACTATATCCGATTAACGCAGTAACCTTTAAAGATTCATCGATATTGACCATTCGTTTAACAAATAAACATTGTGAACGAGGATGGATTACAAGAAGAGTGTTTGCGTTGAGATCATTGTATCCAAATGGGACTTCAATTCATGTTAATTTGAATTTCGGATTTTCGGAATTTAATTTTTGTCCTATTAATAGAATCAATATATTCACGTTACCTGGTGAGGTTCAGCTTATCTTTTGCTGGATCACCAAATTTCATGCTAACCTAAAAAAAAAAATACTTTATACTAGATAATTTGTTGTTGATAAGGTATTGGAAATTACTAGATGAACCTTCAAATCGTATAATATTCATGGGTTTGATAACGACGCTTGATGGACATATAATCGATCCGTAAGTAACATGTTCTCTCTTTTAAGAGTTATTTTTCAAGACGTACTAAATTTGTTATTTGAGCATAGTGAAGTGGAATTGAGTGATCAAGTGAATCTAGAGATGTCTGCATCATACCTGTCAGATCTGACAACCATTGAGACAATCAATGATATTAAAAGTGAAGGATTATTATTTGTGATATCGTATGATAACCGTAGTATAGTTTGGAGAAGATATGGTTGGGATCGTATAGGGTAACGTGGGATCTCAAGTTTTAGCAATCTTTTTAATGTATTCGTGCGTGTTGAAATTCAATACCCTTTTACGTGTAATTTAGGAAAAGGTTGCATAACATGTCGGAGGGGGTGATTACACCGGTGATGCTTTCATCAGAATTATATAGAATAGATGCATTTCATACATTCAAAACATTAGATGGTGGATACGGCCTCGTATACTCCATTTCGTCAATAAACCCCACATCAAAATCTCCACCTTTCTCATCTTCTTCATCATCCACACAATCAACAGTCTACATTACCCTTCTTCACGAATCGTCAATCACTTGGTCATCACCTGCAATAATCTATGCAACATCATTGGCAAATGTACGAATATCTATAATGGCATGTACACAATCAATTGACAAATTATTAGGATACACATGTTTTATTCGTGAACAAAATGACATTACATTACGTTATACCATAAAAATGATTGATTTTTTAAGCATAGGATCCATAAAATCCTATCAAGATTTACCCGGTCATGAAATAAGATCGGAAAGCAGAGGGAATGTTGTTCTTATATACAATGACATATTACCATTAAGTCATGGTGGATTTTTGATGATTGGTACTAGACGTGATGGACAAGATAGTTACCTTCAAGGGAGTGTATATAATTTGGTTGAAGGGGATACCAAGAAATATGGTAAAGGAAAAGATTGGGGGATTCCATTAATGAGAGAAATATTGTATGATGTATTAAATAATAATACAATATGGACCGCAATACCTGGCGAAGATGGTTCTGGTAGATACTGGTATATTATTAGCAATGATATAGAGATTGTCACTAAAGGTGGTAAGTTGGTTTTTTATTGACGAGCAAATTAGAAGGAAAAATTTTGTGTGAGAGAATTTGCTTTGAAGAAAAAAACGAGAATACCAATTTTCTCTTTTTTTTTTTTTCTTGAATTTCAATAGATGTAGGGTACAATAATAAACTAATAATGAATACAACACCACCAATTAATGCAACAATACCGATAAATTTGTCAACAGTAAGGATAAATTATATAGATCCCATAGTATTATCAACGGGAAATATATCAATCTACCAAAGAATGTACAATACTAGTAACATAACTGAAATTAATGCTACCACGCCATATAAAGATTTGTTGAGACAATCGTTTCCAGCATCATTAACGGAATTTGTTAGTACAAGAGTTACCGAAATAGAAGTAAAATTATTGACTTCGACATTTAACCAATTCAATTCTAATTATTATATTGAAATTGATGACAATTTTGTTAGAAATCAAGAATTTAATGAACCTTTAATCGGTATTAAAGGTGGCACTTGGAGCGTTAAAACTAATATCCCGGGTGATCAACAATTTACCGGTGAGTGGAAGAATGAAAAGATTTGATGGGGTAATGATATCCTTGCTAAATATCATCTTGTCGAAATCTCTCTAGATGATAAGAATGTATTATTACGGTTGGATAAAATTGGAACACAATTTTTTAATAACTTTTCATCATCAGAAAAAAATCAATTTTTCGATGACTTATTAATCGCATTTTCACAAGTGATACCGGTGCCATTAGAAAGATTACGTACATCGAAACGGTTCCAATATGATGGTTCAAGAGATGATTTACCATTTTTACCAGTATTAATTCAGGTGCGATTAATAGCCACTAGGATTAAAGAAGATATGAACACGGAACAAATCCTTAGTGATATGGATACTTTGGTTAAGAATAAAATGATTACTCAGTTAGTTCATTTCGATACTACCGCTTTATTGGACCCCGAATATGGTGTAATGGAAATAAGTGAGTGTCTTTTTTTTAAGTGAAAGAAAAAAGAAAAAATGGTCAAGTGGATAGTAAAATCATTTTATCTTATTGAAATAATTGTGATTTCAATTAGAAAATATGTGGACAGTTTATAGATATGAAATTGCAGGGATCATTTGCACCTTCTTTGTTCTATGTGTGCTAGTGTTCCTGGCTCATAATTCCTACCCTGAGGTGATTTACTTAATATTAAGAACTTCTTCAAGCCTAAATCTTCTTTTTACTTAAATCTTTTTCTTTTCTTTACAGGGCAAAAGCATGTCATTGTTCAAATTCATTGTGATTTTAATAGACTTTGTCATGGATATCATGTTCTTATATTACAATGTTCAAGATGTGCCATATTTGTATATACCAAGGTATTTTTTTTTTAAAAAGAACATTCAAATTGATCTCCTGAAAATTCATCATACTAACTTTTTTTTCCAATCCTATTTGCAGTCTTGTTATATTGTTGGCACCATTATCAGTAAATTTTGTTATAACAATGTTTGTATTTCTCGTAGAATTTCTTGGGAGTAATACTTTATTTCAAACGTTTGCTCGCCATAATGCATTAATTACAACGATACTTCTTGTAATGGGTTATATTGATTTGGAATCATTAAAATTATTAAGTTCACGATTAGCAAATATTCAATCATTAAATGCTCCTTTTAGTGTTACTTCTGCTAAATGGATTTATTTTGGTAGTTTAATTGTTGTAATATTAGAAGATGTACCTCAATTGGTGATCCAAGTAAGAGTCTGATTGATTTAATTGATCTTTACTGATTTAAGCTGATGTGCTTAATTCTCCACCCTTTTATTTTGGTAGATCCTTTATTTAAAATCAGTCATAAATTATAGATTTATACCATTATTGACATTAATAACTTGCTCGATAATAATCTTAACGAACGTAATCGGTAAATCGTATGATTGCTGTAAGGTAATACGTAATCGTCTTTACTATCCTTCAACAGATTCAACAGATTCAGAAGATAATCCTCCTAACGATGATGGTGGAAATATTGGTGGTGGAAATAATAGTGCGAACAATAGTTCCCTTTCAGGTAGGGATTATTTAATTGGAGGTCAACAGTTACAACACAACTTTAATAAGTGGTGGGAGGTTGGTAATGATAGAACAAAAAGAAACAGTAAAGAAGGGAAGAACGGAAAAGGGAAAGGGAAGAATAGAGAGGAAGATAAGGTTATAGAAGGAAGTGGTGTTGGAGGAAGTGGTGTAGGAGGAAGTGGAGTAGGAGAAAGTGGTGTTGTAGGAAGTGGAATGGGAAATAAGATAAGAATATTGTAATTTATAAAAAAAAAAGTTTTTTTTAAAAAAAAAAGGTTGATTAGATCTGCAATCAAATAATAATTATAAGATATTTTTTTTTTATTCAAGGGTTCATAAAATACATATATTGTAAATACAAATTGATACAAATTGATACAAATTGATACAAAATAACTAAAAATAAATATATAACAAATTTTGAAAATATACAGTCAATTAGCCCTCAAGCATATATTTTAACTTTTTATTTATTTATCTCATTCACTTCCTTCACTCCTTTCGATTGAATTTCATGTTCATCTCTCAATTTGACAAATCTTTCCCTGTACTTTCTTCTTGCAACTATTAATGACCAAGTTCCAAGGCCAAATATAACAAAAGCACCTGACAAAGCTCCTGCAATGATAAAACCAGGTTTCACTTTCTTCTTATTTTCGTCATTGTCATTGTTATCATTATCACCATCTTTAGCTTTAACGGGGACTTTATTTCCATCGATGTCTTTACCATCACCGGTGAATTGCTTTGGCACACAAGTTCCGAAATCATTTTTTGGTAGACCAAAAGTATTTTCATCACATTGATCTCCTGTTAATATTTTGACATCCCCAGTTTCGGCGAATTTATCGAACCATCTAACATAATAGTCCTTTTGATATGATGGATATTGTATGGCTAACAAATCTTGTATTACTAGATCAGGTCGCGATGGAGAGGTTTCATCCCAATCATCATGAGCCATGTTATTTAACAACTTGCGGGTACGGAACAATCTCTTTTGGGTGATGAAATTTGGAAGCGTTACTCCCGATGTTTGATATCCAAAGAGACGTTTCCACGAATCAAGCGTATCATTTGGTGGTGTAAGTTCTGACAAATCGATAACAATGAACGCATCATGAAGCTCCTTGTGTAATTCCTCGACCTCAACATTCGACGTTATGCTGATTAAAGGATCGGCGGCTAAAAAAAAGGAAAAGAAAAAAAAAGAGGAGGGTAACATTTAAATCAATTAATGATTTTCAAATTATTTAATTATCAAGTTTTACCACTCTACACACCTGCATCCATAGTAATGTTTGAATAAAATGAAGTTTGTTTTATGGTGAAAGTATTATCACTTTCAAGAGATACCCAAGCTATTGACTTTTTCGATTTCTTTGGTACTTTAGAAACATTGTCAACGTGACATAAATAATTTTGTTGAATTTTATCGTAAGCTTCTTTGGCGACATCCGTTTTATTAAAAAAGAGTGATATAAATTTGATCCATTCGGCTCCCTAATTTTTTTATTTTTTTGAAAAATTAGAAACTTTGGTTCTTGAATGCGCGTATAAAATCTGAAAATAAGATAAACGGAATCTTACTTTTAATGCTGAAGTTTCCTCATCTATGGCGATCGACACGAACTTTCCTCCCGTTATCGAAGGTTGACTCTGAAATATAACGTCAGTACCGGCGACGAGAGTTGTATTCGCAGCGTTGAATAGTTCATATAGATCATTATGTTTTTGCAAGCAAGGAGAGGTGATGGTCTTCTTATCGAGGACGTATTTTAATTTCAATTCTTCTCCTAAAATCTAGTTAATTTTGGAATGAAGGAATGAAAACAATTAGTCAATGTAGTTTATTTTAATTTATTTAATTTATTTAATTTTTTTTTTTATGAATTTTACCTCTAAAAATGAAACAATTGAAGAATCATAAACTGCGACATTGTTCACGGGAACTTGAATATAACTCGTGGTGACAACAGGAGCGTCAGCAGGTCGGGTTGCAGTACAATATAGGACGTAGGTTTCAAGGAACTTTTTAGTGGTGACTACGATGTAAGTATTGTGGTACGTCACATCAAAGTCTCTTCTTCCAGCTTTAAACGTAAAAAAAAAAAATAAATAAATAAATTAATTTTTTTATTAAATCCGATAAAAAATTCCGCATAAACAGGATACTTACCTTCAGTATGATAAGCAATCTTATTTGGAAAATAGTCAAAATTCTCAATAGGCGCATTGAGACAATCGGATAAAACAGGACGTGTAAGATAACAAAGTATAGAAAATACCAAAAGGCATTTATAACCATTAAAGATTATCATATTCATTAAATTTTCTGTCAAAAAAATCAAAATAAAATATTCGTAAAAAAATAAAAAGAGAGAGGGAGAGAGAGACTGGAAAGGATAAAAAAAGGGAAAACAAAAAAAAAATTTTTTTTTAACCTCAACAAAGGGTTGAGGAAAAAAAAAAAGAAATGGAGAGATTTATATATCTAAATGATACTACTTTTTTAGACGATTGACCGTTTTCTATTTACGGTATATCCATAAAAATTAAGATTTACATTCTTTCAGATAATTTTTAGACTGATTAAAAATCATCAACATGAAATGATAAATTTTTAAAGTTAATCCGTTGTTTAGACACCAATCAATTGTTGTCAGTAGTACATTGAACTTTTTTAAAACAAATCTAAAATATCGTACAACGTTAATAAAGTTGATATGTTATCTCGTGTCGTGATGATTACAATTTACTGTAACGTCACAAGGAAGAAAGTCGACCATCAGGTAACTCGGAATGACTCGTCCAAAGTTACAAAAAATCAACAGCAAAAATCCTATAATTAGTCAAGATGAATGCAATCATCGTTTCACGCACAGAAATTAATTGAATTATATTCATGATTTTAAAACCACAATTCTAAACTCGTAACATACTTGTTGGAAAAGCGGAAGGATCGGTAATCGGAAAAGGTTGGGGCAATTGAAAGAAATTCATTTGAGACCGAGACTTATCAACGAGACCGGATGAATTTGGAAATGATCTCAAACAAGCATATTTGTAAGTTGTTTGTTTATATCTGAAAATTCGTAACTTGCTCGTTTTTTATTCTAAATGGCATTCTTACATTTATTGTCATTATTTTATACATTATTTTTAAATAATAAATGCGGCATACATAACATTCCATAAATAATACAAAAAAATAATGAATTTCAAAGATGAAAAAACTTTATTTAAAAATAAAATATTTTTAATATGATTGACAAAATCAAATTGTGACAACAATCATTTCACGTGATCAGGATAAAAATCTATCGCGTTCGTTCAATGAACCCTTTTTTTTCATTCATATAATAAGATCAATAAATTTACAAATAAGGATATATAAAGTGATTTTTCAATGAAAACTTTATTCATTCGAAATAATCTTTATCTGTAACATCTATAAACAAACTTTCATACTTTCTTAATCTGGAACATTTCCTTTAATATGCGGTCAAAGTAATGATCATTTACAAAAAGTTAAAATGATCTTTGTCTAATCTACATGGACCAAGTAAGAAAAAAAATTTTTTTCCTTCATTTTCAAATTTAGAACATAGAAATGGCAATTGATCGAATCAATCATTTATACAAACCAGTTTATTTTATGACAAATTTTCGTCGGTTAAAGAAAAAGAAGTATTTTCCGTTAATTGATCAGTTAACAAAGAAATTTTTTGATGGATGACCATTTTTTTTTTATATTTATACAGTAAGCCTCGAGATGTTTAGATAATCGCCCCAACTTTTTTGTAGTTGTTTCTTGAAATTTAGCCTTTCTAAGACATTATTTGTGAAAAATGCAAGTACTAAAATATTTTCAATACTTTGGCGTAAGACCTAACAAAGTAGATCCATGAACAATAAGCAAAAGCAAATCAAGCGATCTTAAAATAAAAACTAAACCTACAAAATTATTCAATGAGGAAATTTTATTGGGAAGTTTGTTATGTGATATTCGATCATTGTTATCACTTATTTTCTCACGACCTTTTGTGTTTTTGGAATCATGCGACTTTGTTGTAAATATATTATTTTATTGTGGAACCTGGGCGATCTTTTTTTCTTTCCTAATTTACGATTCCCCTTTTTATTCGATTTGATAAAAGTTCTCATTCTATTCGATGGTCCGATTATAAATAATTATAAGTTGAACAAAAAAAATCTATATATATCATTATAAACTTTTCTAATATTTTTATTTCATGAGGTGATATTTTCGGGCAAATTCTAAATCTAAATTTATATTTTTTTTTTAAAAAAAAAAATTGAATTTAAATTAAATTCAAATTGTTATTAAAATTTAAAGTTATGAATTTTTTTTTATGAATTTGGGAACATCACAGAATGCTTCAAGGACTGAAAATTGATCTGTCATAATGAAAGTGTCAACATACACATGACAATTTGCAACACACTTGACCACGATAACATCATATATACCTTTTTGTACCCCTTTTTTCATTTTCTATTACCAATTATATTTATTTATCAAGTAACTTACAGTCAAAATTCTCGGATTAGAAAGAGTGAGAGAGCTTTGGCTATTTAAGAGCGGATGCTGGGGCGTCATTAGGAAACATTAGCAAAATATAAAATATTCAGCTTATTTTATTTCATGAAATTCACATTGTCCTTTCAATTTATCTTCTATCCTAACAATCATTTATTAATTACACAAGAAAACGATTATTTGAAGTGGAAATAGTCACGTGTATTGTTGTAGGGATAATTGATCATTTTTATTATGCATCATTGCCGGTCTCGAAATAATGGTTCGAGAACCGAATGGCTTTTTTTTTGCAACTAATTCGTTGTTTCTTATTTTTCGAAAGAAAGAATTTTTTATTTTTATTTTGTGATCATTTTTTTTACCTTTTTTTTTTCTATAAAGATTTATGCTTTTTAAATAAAGTCAATAAATATCATTTTATTTTTTGGATGGACACATTATTGATTATTTTATATTCTTTAATATTGAGGATTATTTTCTCCAAAAATGCCAACTACGCCTCAAAATTCCATTATAGTTAAGAACTTACGGATGGAATGTATAAAAGAATATTTCACCTATTTTGTTTATAACACATGATTGCGTGATTTGAAGTAATTATATATACAATACAGTATAATATATACAGAATATAAATAATAATCATCAAAATTTACATATTAGTCAATCATATCTAAATTGTTATTATTTTATATTGAAATGAAGTAAGGGATTATAACAAAGAATTAAAATGTAAATTATGATTGACCTATTGTCACCGGTTAAAAATTCATCATTGGAAAGTAAAATTATATTTCTGATCTTACTGATATCCATTATCTCCATTATCTTTATTATTCTCATTATATTTATTATAATTATTATACTTCTTATATTTATTATTACTGTATATTTATTAATTCTCTTATATTTATTTTATTTATTATTTTTATTCAAAATTAGTTTAGAAATAGTAACGAAAAATTATTATAAATAAGATAGTTCTTTTATGATATAAAAATTAAGTCTATAGCAATCCTAAAATATCAATAGTTCTAATGTTAATAATAAACTAGAATTTAATAAAAGAATCAATATTAAACATAAACTTTCTTCATCTAAGATTTGATGCGATACCCTACACTATGCTATACATTTTAGTTTATCAATCATAAATAAAATAGAGACATACATTGCCAGTTTAAGAATTCAAGTTTTCTGAAATACCTATAGGATGTGAATTTCTTAAAGTCAGAAATACTGCAAGAGTTGTCTGTCTTGCATCGTGAATGACATTAACCAAGTATTTGATAAAAGAAATAAACAATTTAGAATTGATTAACAAAATGAAAGTAAATTGTTATCATATGAGAAATAGAAATGAAATTCTCATGTTAACACTATGAAAAGTAAGAAAGAAGTAAGCATTAAAATTAAAAAAATCACAATATTAATTTAATAAAAATAGCTTATCTACCTTTTGTTCTTTCAATTATTATTATTAATATTTTGTAAACTTTTATATTTTACAACTTTTATCCTACTATCAACATTAAATTTACTTCTGTATTATTAGTAATAATCTTATTTGAAAGAATTAATTTGTACTAGTAGTTCTAGTTTGCATTCAAAATACTTAGAATTACTAACTAAATAACTTAAAATTAATAAATAATTAAGATTTTAAAATCTGATTACTTAACTATTTACCTAAATTTTCATAACTTACTTTTATTCAAAAACATATTTGCATTAGTTAAAATAATCCATTTTGTTACTTTTTTAAAGTGTTAAATGTTGGTTAAAATATAGTAAAAGTTAGGCTTAATTCTTATGTTAATTTATAATATGAATATGATATTACCTGATTATATATTATCTATAAAATATAGTAGTTCAAAACTTATATCATATCAAATTGAATAATTAGATCTTGATTATAGTTTATATATAATTATTAACAAAATAATTATAATATTCAATATAACTAATAAAAATTTTCTATACAAATTTAACAGTATCTATAATACTAATATATCTAATTAATCATACTTAGATAAATATATTATAAAAATATATTTGGTTAAATTTAAAGTATAAATATATTAATAAAAATTTTAGATTGGTTAGTTAGTTGCTAATAGTTTTTAACTAAAATAAGCAATCATAAAAAAGTAAAGACAACATTTACTTTTAAAGTATATATAATAAAATATATATATAGAAGACGATCAGTAAAAAAGGGAGAAATCTAAATTTTGATCAAAATTTATATTATTAGATCATTTGGTTAATCTTGATTATGTGCATAAATTTGGCTTAATAATAAAAATTAACAAAGATTTGGGATTTTCTCTTTTTCTACTAACCACCTTCTATTTATATATAATTTTAATATTATTATATATTATAGAAATTTAATATATTTATTTTTAATAATATTATTTTTATTATTAAATAATCATAATAATAATATTAAAAAATAAAGTTAATTCAATAATAAATAAAAAAAAGGAAAGCTAATACAGTATAATTCACTTAATCAATATGATATTATCTTATGATACTAATGATTAAAATTAGTGTTAATGCAAAATTAACAAATAATTTAGCTTTAAAATTTATAAAATAAAAGTTTATGAAGAGCTTTGAAGGCTTGCACAATCAATATGTATTTTAAAGATAAAGTATAATTATAAGTTAAGCAATTAGAGTTTTATTATGTAAAAGAATTTATTATAATTGTATTTGTTTTTAATATAAGTGTATTTAGTAACT